GTATACAAACCGTTAACAGGCCGCAAGACGTGCCATTTCTGGATAGTATTTGTTTGTGCGTGCACTTTGATATTCTTTTTTTCTATTCAATATTATTTATTCATTGCTATGGCAACAAGAGGTTGTGTAAGCGACCCCAACATATTTTGTTATATTTGTGGTAAATTTGTTGTAAAGAAACAAAGCCAAAAATTGCAGAATTCGTCAAAAAAGCATATTACGCGTATTTTGGAATAAAACTTGGGGACAAAGACAGATCATTGGCTCTGCACAAAGTTTGAGATGTTTGTATTGGAGAGTTCAGACAATGGACTAAAGGTAAGAAAAAGTCTTTGCCTTTTGGAATTCGAATGGTCTGGCGTGAGCCTAGAAACTATGAATATGACTGCTATGTTTGCTCATGTAACATGCAAGGCTGCAACACTCGAAATAAAAAGGAAATTTCTTATCCGAACCTCCAATCTGCTATAAGACCTGTTGCTCATGGACCCGATGTGCCTGTACCTACTCCACTGGATACTCTTGATACAGTTTCATCTAATTTTGAATCTTATGTCAATATAAATTATGATAGAGATTGTTTTCAACCTGAAACATCTGGTGCATCACAACATTCCATACAAGGTGAACTTAATGATCTGGGTAGAGATTTGGGCCTTCCAAAGGATTCTTCAGAGATTTTGGGGTCCAGACTTTGGGCTAAGAACATACTTTCTCCATGAAAATCATTTTACTGGTACTGAAATTGTGAGAAAGGGTTTATACTATACTTTTCGCAAAAAGCCTCACTGGTTTATTGAAACAATATTGCTGAATTAATACCAATGCTAGGAGCTGCAGTCAATGAACCAAGTGAGTGACGATTGTTCATTGATTCCTCCAAAAGAAGTCTAAAAGGTAACACAATGGTAACATATATGCATCTGTTCCTATTGCTCAACGTACGAAAATCTTAATCTTCTTCTTAATAAGGTTTAATACAAAGAACATGGTTGGCTATTTCCATGTTTTTATGTGAATGGGACAGCAGAGCACGAAATTAGCACTGGATAAAGAAATAATTGTTACGCAGAGTCAGCCTGATACCAGGATCGAAAAACATTGAACGTGAAAGTTTGGTTGCGAATGTCCTATTACCTCCACTTCAGATAAAACTGCGCTTGCTGAAGCAGTTAGACAAAAATGACGACTGTTTCAAGTATTTATGTGGACAATTCTCATCTCTTTTAGAAACAAAACTTAAAGAAGGAACATATATTGGGCCTCCGATTAGGAAATTGACTTCGGATGAACAGTTTGAAAGAACAATGAGGAAAGTTGAAAAAGAAGCGTAGATTGCATTTAAAGATGTTATTGACAAATTTTTAGGAAACAACAAGCACCCAAATTACAAAAATATTGTCAATAACATGGTCGATAAATTCAAAAGTTGAGTTGTAGTATGAGCTTGAAAGTTGATTTCTTACACTCACATATTGACTATTTCCCTGAAAATATCGATGCCGTCAGCGAAGAACAAGGGGGAGAGGTTTCATCAAGATATCAAGGAAATGGAGAGGAGGTATCAGGGAAGACAGACACATCAGCATGATGGCTAATTACTGCTGATCATTGAAACGAGATGCTCCAGATGCAATACATAAAAGAAATACCATAACACATAGTTTTGAGACGTAGATTTCACACAAAAAAATCAGGATGAATGATTGTTTGTTTGTAATTAAGCACAAAGCTACACAATGAGCTATCTGTGCTCTGCTCACTACTGGTATCGAAACCCGGATTCTAGCGTTGTAAGTCTGCAAACATACCACTGTGCCACTGGGGGGCAGGATGAATGAGGATGCATATTTCTTTGACATAAATGTTCTTCTCTTTTCTTCAGTTTGTTTGAATTTTTGTTAACAAATATAACGAGAAACAATGTTTATTGTGGTAAAAGAAATAATGATTTGACCCAAGTAAGAGTTTTTTCTCCCGATTTGCAAAAAATCCTTACGTGATAGAGAAAACTGAATATTATTTTCCAAGTTTGCGTAGCTTAGTTATGGAAAATCGGTTATTAAGACTAAAGCAACTTTTATGAAGTTTAAATTCGTAGACCTGTGTAATTAAATAGTTCACTGAATGACTGTCATTCTACTTGTTGTAAAACTGACTAGCTCGCTTAATAGCATTTATAACGAATGTGCCTATTCAGATTTTAGCCGAATTTTCTAGATCTTCATCTCATGCAGCATCTAGCATGTTGACCTCTTTCAAAACCTTTGTTAATACTATCAATACTCATGGCACATACATATTTCTCAAAATTTCCCACCCGCACAGTAGCAAAAGAGTCAGATTATGCTCACAATTTGTATAATGACGCAAATAACGAAGTGGCTATAATGATTAAAAATAAAAAAACAAATAGCATGTAAGTTTTTTCTTTAAAGGAGACTATTTTGATTCTCTTATGCATGATACAGCCATCAAAGCTAATTCATATATCCAGGAACAAATCCTCAACCTTACAAAAAAAAAAAAAGAAACTCACCGATTGTATTTCACTTAAGCTAACATACCATCAGTCCAACAAAAAAATCAAATATGTCATACTAAATAATTAAACGTACAACACTTATTCAAGATCCAACTATTAAATCTATTCTCATTATTGTTTACATCTATAAAAACAAACCAAAAAGAAATCCTGAAATAAAAACAGCATGATACTCTAGGTACTCAAACATGTAAAAGAAACAGATGTTTCATATGCCTACATATAAACAGCACTACACATATACAAGGAAAAAAAAAACATGACTTTCAATATAATCTGTCTTGCGCGTGAGCTACTGAATGTATAATTTGGAGAAAATTACTTCGAACAAACAGGCCGCCGACTTGGTGATTGAGCATGTAAACACTTAAACTATATTTAATTGCAGGACCACAATACACTTATTGGCAAACATTTAACAAAAAACAAGCATGAAATTGAGGTCTATTCGATTCTGGATTTTATACATGCTCTACAGATATTCGCAAAAGAGAACAACTAGAAAAATAAAAGATTTACGACCTAGGAACCCTACAGTCATCTGGATTAAATAATTGCTTTTTTTATAGGTTCGATTCCCCTCGGTGGACAGAGCAGATAGACCAAAATGGCTTTGCTATGACAACACTCACACACACTTTCTTATAGAATTTCATTTTTCCATTATTTATTTCAACTTTAATTCTAATCTTTATTTTCGTATATTTTTTATTTCTTTCGATTTTTATGACTTGTATAATATTTATGTAAAAGTTTTAACTTTACAAATAAATTTCTAAATCAATGTTCAAAATGCCGCATAAGCAATTTTCAAATTATGCACATGCGCTGTTGCAATAAGCTTTACAATATGACTAGGAGCGCTAGCTCGAAAACGTCATCCTCGAGAAATGAATATATTGTTACGTCTCCGTTCGTTAGTTAATTTTTTTTTCCGACGAAACTTTAGCGACACAAGTCCTTTCTTAAA